GAAGACATTCACATACAAGTACACTTTGATTGAAGGAGAAGGTATATCAGATAAAATTGAGAAGGTGTCTTATGATATTAAGTTTGAGGGTTCAGCCAATGGTGGAACCATCTCCAAAATGACCACAACCATCTACACCCTTGGTGATTTTGAGATCAAGGAAGAAGAATTAAAGGCAGGTAAAGAAAAAGTTTTAGGGCTTTACAAGGTTGTGGAAGCTTATCTCCTCAAAAACCCTGATGCATATGCTTGAAGATGCTCACCTAAAGTTTGGGTTGTAGCCATCTTTGGCATTTTCAAGATTCCCAGTGTTCTCTTTAAGCGTAGAAGCCATGCATTATCTTCTACAGAAGAAATAAACATCACATTATCAATAACTGCTGTAATCAGAAATATTTCTGCAATTGATTCATAATGCAATATAACGAATTTCAAACATGAAATGCAAACAACATTAAATGGTGTCTTTTTTACCACGATGGGTCCAAAGGGTAAAATGATGACCCGTGAAAATTCAAGAAAAAAGACCCCTGTCCAATAAACATATTAAAGGGAATTGTTAAAATGGCCACCTTATAGTAAAACACGGAAAATCCATACATCACCAAGTTCCATCTCCATCATCCCAATAACCTCCTGAACCTGCGATTACAATTCCTTAGGAGAGCTCAGGAGAAAGGTTCACACTAACTTTATTGCTAATATTAAGCAAAGCATTTCATATTTCAAAAAAACACTTATTGTACCTTGTTAGTATGAGCAGGAGGATCACCATTCAGTACCAAAATAACATGTCCCCTTTCTAATGGGTGCATATCAATAACTCTTTCATTACGCCAACCCTTACGCACGAAATCCATGAAGAATGAATGAGTAAATGCTACATCCAACGAACATTACAACAAAGTAATCCATTTGTTTAGATAAGTTTTCCCCATTCTCAGTTCTTCATTTTGTGGGTCCAAAGTGCTATCAGATCATATGAATGAATGAGTAAACGCTACATCCAAAGAACCTTTTCAGATTTCACCACCTCCTGCATTCCAAAAACCACAACCGATGTATAAACAGAAATATTTCGGCATTTAGTTCGTGGTGCAATATAATGAACTTCAAAAACTGAAATGTACACAATCCATCAAATTGTATCTTTTTAACCACAAACATTAACCAAACGCAGCCATGCAATGAATACAAAGCAAACATTAACCAAAGGGCCTTTGGCCTAGCGGTATCGTAGCCCTTGGCCTTCTAGGAGGTCAGGGTTCAAACCTCACCATAGGTGAGGAGGGTGTGTGAGTTTATTTGTTGCATTTGCCGTATATAAATATTATATACTTCAAAAAAAACATTAAAATGATGACACAAGATAATTCAACAAAAAAATACCTGTCTGGATTTGGAGGTCGTCGCGTGTATATAATGGGAATTTCTGGTTCTCCAGTAAAGTCTGCTTCATCTGATTGATTCTCCAAAGGCAAAAGAGGTAGATCTACAGTTCAGTTTCGTGTTGTAGAAGGTGAACAGGGTTTGAATATTGAATTGATCTTCAATTGCATTGTTTGTTGTTATTTGGACTTTGGAGGAACAGCTCAATCTGAATGCAGAAACTGCTCAAATCAGAAATATGAATCATATGATCACATCTATATATGGGAGAAGTTCAAAAAAGCAGGCAAACTATCCCATCTTAAGTCATTAAATCCCTTAAACTTTTTACTGAACAAATAAAACCTTTACTCTATATAAGGAGGTTGGATCATCACCATTATAGACACTTGAATACATATTAATACATGAATATGAGCTCTCATACTCTCTCTATAATTATGAGAATATTGAGCTAATTTCGATCACAGCAAATTTTGAATAATTAAAATTAAATAGGAAAGTGAATAGTACAAAAAATTAACTAATGAATTTCTTTATTAAAAAAAATGTAATACAGTTTAAAAGTGGGAACACCAATTTTGCAGGCCAAATAGAGACATGCTCAACACCATTTTCACCCAATTTACAGGCCTTTTTTTGCCGGACCTGTGGAGTGAGATTCTGCCCATTTTGCAGGGCTGTTGGAGTCAGCCTTAATGGCGTTAGTTTGAACTTAAGCGGAAATTTATAGAACTTGTCCCTAACTCGATTTGACATCCATAAGTTGCCATTTGATGTTGCAAATCATTAATATAACCTTGAGATTTATCTCTATACCAAAATAAATAAAAAATGGTAATTCAACTTGCCTAGATCACCCATAAGCTTCATTATGATGCACTAAAAAGGGGCATTCTCATATATTTCATTGTACATTCGTCACAGGCTCAAATTTGAGTTATAAATTAGGTATTGCACAATGTGAGAATCTTGAGGGGGTCCATTAGCTCTTGAGGTTTTAGATTCTCCTCTGATTGGGAGAAACTTGGCACAATAATAAAGTGCACTTGAGAAATTACAGGTAATCCCAGATAAAAATATCCAAGACAAATTTAGAATGAGCTTCGATGCTCTAGATGATGATGAAGTAAAGAATATTTTCCATAATATCGCATGCTTTTTCAATAATATGCACAGAGCATATGTGATTGATGTTCTTGAAGGTTGTGTAATGTGTAAATTAGCTGCAGCTAGTAATCTGATGGGTTAAGAATCTTCCTGTAGAATAGTTTTGCATCAAAAGAGAATAATTTGGTTCCTCTTATACTAATCTGAAATCATACCAAAAAGAATAAGACAAACAGCTTATTTCAGGCCCTGTACTAGTACTTGATTCCAACAGCTAAAAGTTTAATGTCATCAATCCTAAATAATGATAATTAAAAAAACTCATAAAACCCTAAAAACAAATATAAGACATGAAAAGGGCACATTTTCAACAATTCAACTTGCAAAAAGATCGATTACTTTACTTAAATGACAACGATGATTCGTCTGAACAGCAGAACAGGGCAGTGATTCGCCTGAGGGCGACTCCTCACGACTGTAGATCAAGAGGGGGGCCGCCCCCGGGGGGGGGGAGATGGTCTTGGGGCGTCGAACTCCAAATCTGAGACCAACTTTGGGTCATACCGTTTATTTCAATAATTTCGTTTAAACTATTAAGTACTTAAATTATCTTATTATTAAAAACTATTAAAAAAATTATTTTAAATGATTAAGTTTTTAAACTATTTTTTTAATGAAAAAATTATTGAAATTTTTTATTTTAATTGATTAAGTTTCTAAACATTTAAAAAAAAAATCATGGCACTTTTAAAACTGATTACCTACGTCATTTTAATCCAAAAGTTATATTATCAACCGGTAAAAGTTCAATGATTTGTCAAAGACATTTCAACCTAGTGGTAAAGGCTTGGGCATGGCATAGTCATGAACCCGAGTTCGAGCCCTGGGAGGGGAGTGTTGGCGACATTTTTTAGTGAGGTCATGTTTAGCCTCCAAATTTGTCGGGGATTAGTCGGGCTTTGGCCCGGACACCTTTACAAAAAAAAAGTTCAATGATTTATTTTATTTTTTTTAAAATTAGGGTTTTAATCATTCAAAATGTAAAATTTAATGTTTTTTCATTTAAAAAAATAGTTCAGAAACTTAATCATTTGAAATGAGAAAGTTTAATGATTTTTTCATTTAAAATGATAGTTGAAGAACTAAAACCATTAATTTACTTCCACATCTCGGAAGAAGAAGAGGCGACAGGTGATTAATTTGGCAGAAAAAATCAGAAATCAAGTCATGAACCCACTAATCAGATGTATTTTGATTTTGAAATCGAGTACATTGACGAGTAGGACTGAACTATTTAATCTGTTTGTTCATAGTCGATTAACACATTAAAGTTTCATTCGGCTTCTTTTACCTGCAATGTACGAATACAATGAAATCATATAACATTTTGGTCTTTCAGAAAGTGGTCCTCAAATTCCTAGCACAGGGATTCATTACATGTTTCGAATGAATCCCAACTTCTTGTTTTACACATTCATCATCAAATCTTAATACATATATGTTAAAATTGAATGGTTTTTTAACACGAGGTTTCATGAAGTTCTTTAATTTCGTAAAAGGTTTGTGTCTCGTTAGGGTTTCTTGAACATGACCATTGATGAAACTTTGTTCATCGTATGCAGCTGTGTTAACTTGTCCAAGTAATATCAGTCTGACCTGCTATTGTAAAGAAATTGGATTTCATGAAAATATTAAGTACTAATTTTATACATTTTATGTCAAATTTACCCAAAATTTAGTGTTAACTGTATATTTAAAATACCCCTTTTCATTTGAGTTTAGTACTTAATTGTTTATTATCCTTTAAAAGAAAAGGAAAAAGTATGTATAGTCTCGTCACAACCCGCGTTAGTCTCTGTTTCTTTACTTCAAAATGTATCCGGGCAAGTTTTGTCGCGGTTTGGCCGCACCCAAGTCGCGAGCGTCAGAAATCAAACGACCACGTTCTTTTCGAACGGTTTTCTTCGATTGGGGTACTTTATAACTGTTTGTTGGGGGATTTTGAATTGACTTTTGGAGAACACAAGGACCGGTTCCCAGATTCGAATAGACTTTTTTGGAGATGATTTCTAGGGTTCTTTATCAATTTCTCCATTTTAATTAGTTCGTAAGTTTATATATTTTAGATATGAGTAGCTAATCTTTTAATTTCTAGCAATGGGTAGATAATTAACTTGAAATTTGGATGAGTTGAGACTCAATTTTGTTCCACAATCGATTAATTTCATTTTGAATTTTGTGAGTTGGATCCCTCGCTTTTTCTGATTTGAACTCGTTATGCTAGAGGAATTTTTGAGTACGTAATTGTTCTTAGATTTCTTTGAGTAGCAAGCGACACTCAGTTGACCAGTGTGTTAGTTGCAAATGTCGTATGGTTGTACAATCTAACTCAAACAATTGAAATCCGACTATTGGTTAGGTTTGGTGTTTGTTTGATCTTGATGCATTTAGCAATTAAATTCCAAGTCTTTGACTGTACTAGATTAGCTAATTAAAGATTAGTTGTTAAATTGTTTCATACTAATCGTGTTTTATTATTTGTCAGACTCGATACCTGTCAATGAATGAATCGATGATCTTAAAACTCACAAAAAAAAAAAAAACAAAGAAAATGAAGAACGGAAAAATGGATTCCATGGGTGAAGAAGGGCTTAAAAAAATGAGCAACAATGGAAAATGACTGAATGGAATCGATGGGGAAGAATATTGAATATGCTGATTGGATTCATCACCAGAATTAGATGAAGATAAGATTCATAAAATCTTTTAGAAAAACAAATATATATATATAATTAAACTGAACTTGGGGCCGTTTAACTAAATGCTTATCCGGTAAGTGCTTAGTGTTAGGAGTCAATACTATAATTTATTTTATTGGGTAAGATTGTAGTACATCAAAACGTATCATATACAACAATTTACCTGGTAAACGCTTACCCGGGTAAGAGTCGTCAACCTCACTTACCGGGTAAAACTATTCATCCTTATCATCGCTCTTATCGGGTAAGATTCTTGGCCCTTGTCATGTTCATCCGATGAGAAAAATTATCTGGTGACCGGATAAGCGTTTAGTAAACAGCACATTAGTTACACGAATTTAAAAAATATATATATTATATATATTTGTTGGAAATAAGATTATTGACAAAACTACCTTTTAATAAATAAAAAACGGAAATTTCTCATCAAATAATATAGGGTTGTATCAGTAATCGGTTGAATAAATTCATGAGGCTGTATTTGAACTTTTCTCTGTATATATAGGGATAGCTTCAAACGAAAACTAAAAATTTTTATAAATATAAATCAAAATTTAGAGAATTAATCAATGATTAAAACATAAAATAGTTGATTGAGAAATGATTAGGTGTAAAATGGGAGTTAGGATTTAGGCATGTTATATTTGACTTTTTTTTATTAAAAAACATTTATTTCTTAATTTTTAAACTGAATTATCTTAAAAATAATTAATATTTTAATCAAACAAATTACATTAAAAAATTGAGCATTTCATTCTCTTCGATTTGACATCTATCTTTATTTATTTATGTTTTTAACTTCAAATAGTATATTTGTGTAATATTCATTATGAATATTTATGTATGTTCATATGTTTACAACAACTCTTTTAATATTTATACATTAGTATGAAATTCATAATTAATATAAAACTAAGTATAACATTAATCATGGATAGTTATGTATTTTCATGTGTATTCAATAAATCTTCGGTATCAATGCATCACTATGACATTTATCATTAGTATACATTTTTATTATAATATTCATCATGAATAACGTTTTCTTTATAACATTCATCATGAATATATATATACATCTCTCTCTCTCTCTCTCTTTATCTCTCTCTCTCTGTATATATATATATATATATATATATATATATATATATATTCACGTGTATACAATAATTATTAAGTATTCATACATCAATCATGAATATTTATATACATTCATGTGTATACAATAACTTTTCAACATTCATACGTCAGTATGATATTCGTCATGAATGTATAATTTCCCTATAACATTAATCATTAACACACATATATTTCATTATTAATATACATATTGTTCATTATGAACGTTTATGTATGTTCATGTGTATAAAACAACTTTTAAACATTCATAAGTATGATATTCGTTATGAATATACATTTTCATTGTTGCATTCATCATGAATATTTATGTATGATCACGCGTATACAATAACTCTCTCGTATTTATACTAGTATGATATTTATCATAAATATTAATTCTCACCATATATCCATCATACATATACATAATATTCATAAAAAATATACCACAATTTCAACTCTACATATTTTAGTTTTTCCTTATTGGGTTATCGATTGATCTGGATGAGTTCCCAGCTTGTCTCGATAGATTTCGCAGTCCATCTCGATAAAAGTTAAAAGTTGTAGGTTATATTTTTACACAAACAAACACACAACAAAATTAATCAATAGGTTCTTAATATTTCTCGATGAAAAATGAAGATGTTATATTATGATTTTAACATACAACCACACACCAAATCAATGGATGAGTTCTTGATTAGTCGTGATTAGTCTCGATTGGTGTCGATCGATCTTGATGTGTTCTTGATTGGTCTCGATGTGTTCCTGATCCATCTCGATAAAAGCTGAAAGTAGTAGACGATGGTTTTACTCACACAAACAATTAATAAATCAACCGATAGATTCTTGATAGAAAATGAATGTGGCATGTTATGGTTTAACACACGAACACTGTCAATGCATAGATTCTCGACCTTTCTCTATTGGTATCAGTGGGTTCTCAACCGGTTTCGATGGTTGTTGAGTTATGGTGATGAAGAGTGTGGCGCCTTACAATTTTGAAGAAAGTGTTAAAGAATGAAATGTTGAGTTATAGACTTACAGTGTCTAACTATTATAAACTTAAACATACATAAAATTTCATAATGGACCACAAGGGTGGTGGCTGATTGGTTTGAGTTTGGCTCCAAAGGTCAAAAGTACCAGGATGTCCGAGGTTCAAATCTAAGGGGGAATAAAAATCCCCTTGTGGCCATGGAGATTCAAATGCGGTGACTCCGGGCTATCTGCATAGTAGGTGGTCGTCCTGGGATTAGTCGGCTCGCATAGCGGGTTGAAAATCCAGGTTAATAAAAAAATCATAATGAATATAACACATTTATACCATTTAACCGAATTCCACCGTTTCCAGGTATCTTTTTAAGTTCTTTGGTTGATTTCAAACGCCTTTTCTAGGTTTTTTTTTTTTTATTGATTTTGAGAGGATTTTTTTTTTTTTGGTATTTTGTTGATATTCCTTCTATTTTCTAATATTTAGTAAGAGTTTTCAAAGTTTAGAATACATCTTTCCTATCCTAAAAAATTATTTACAAAAATAAGTTGAGTATTTGTTTACCTCTTAATAGTTCAATTAAGATACAATATCAAAATTGTTAAGAGGTGTATCTTGTTTGACAAAAAAAATGTTTGTTTTTTAATTGTTTTAAAACCCTCTAAATAATCTTGTATATTGGGTCCCCTTAACCATTCAACATCTAAATTTCATTGTAGACAATTATCAAACAATTGTATTTCATTTTGCACTATATTATGAGAATCTCTTAATAGTTCTGACAATTTAATCATTTTACACTAAATCATTCTGTCAAACAAACCATAATTAAGACTCTGCTCAAGACTTGTTTTATAAAACTTGTTATAAAAGTATGTTTAATTTATTTCCATAATTTAAAGTAATGTTTTTAATAAATATGTATATAAGTTAGAGAATCAACAATTTTCACCTTTTAAACTTCTCACCAAACTCATCTAATCAAAATCTTATAAACCTCAACATTTTATATAAATGTATAAAAAAATATTATAAAAATTACCAAAAAAAAATATGTTAATTTTACTAATGTTTAATTAAATATTAATTTCACTAATGTGTAGTTTATATGTTTAATTAAAGGCAAATTGCATTAACTCTTGAGTACTTAAATGTTTAAAACTTTACATCTTAGGTAACAAAATAGAATTTTCGAAAGTACGTTACCCCAAATAGAAATCAAGTTAAAGTATGTTACTTTTTCATGCAATTTACCCATTTAATTAAGTCATATCTTATGTTCTTTTAATAACAGAAAGACACACAATCAATCAGTGAATAAAAAATAGAACATATAACCCACGTTAAATTACCAAATCGTCCCATCAAATAATAGGAACCTTCGTTTCATATCTCGTGGTTGATATTCTTACATACGTCGTATTCATAATAATAAGAAAATACTGCAAATAGTAAATGAAAATATATACTTGCAAGATAGATGTGAAGGGGAGTTTTGGTGGCATGTAAAGTGTATGGTTTCCAAGTGGCTAAACTTTGTAGCCATTGAATGCCAAAAAGTGTAGAGATGAGATGGGGCAAAGCTTCAAATCAATGGACAAAAACTTTATGCATATGTGGACACCAAAGAGAAAAAGGATGAGTCAATGCTATGATGTATAACAACTATGGGTCGATCAGGAAAACGATAACAACTGGTGTCGATAAAAAGATTTTCGAGCTCGAACTTAATTATCAAACTCGAGTCGATCTCGAACAAAAAATAAACTTCGTTTAACTTAACGAGACGAACTCCACAACTGTTCGACTCGACTCGACTCGACTCGTTCGAAAGCTCGATTAAACTTTATGAGTCAAGTCGAGCCATTCGAACATACACTTTTTGAGTTAGACATATTTATATACTTACAAATTATATGATATGATGAAAACCATAAATTTATAGAATGCAATTTATTCTTAAAGTCGACACTAACAAAATTTTCCACGTTACCATGGGGAATATGCGAAGAATCTTCCAGCAAAGTAGAGAGCATAATTAAAAAAAATGAAAAACCAGAAATATTTCCACGTAGGCATCTACTTCATCCTAAGGGCCTACTAAACGACCTATAGTGGATAGACACGTCAACTAGAAAATCCTGCGTCCACGTGGGACGACACCTATGAGCAAGAAAGTTGGGGTGAACCCAACAAGAAGATACCGGACCAAACAAATACCCATCAACCGTTAATTTCTCAGCCAAAGCCGCTCGCCTTCTCTCTTCACACACAAACCCCCTGAAACACACAGTAGTCGATTCCGGCAAAGCGTTCACCGGAATATCCATCGCTTTATTGATAAGATGATAAACTTCAGGCCTTCGGAGACTCGGACGTCGTCGTCGGCGAGCTCCGTGGTGACGGCGGAGAAAGCGTTTTCGTTCATATCCAAAGGATGGAGAGAAGTGAAGGATTCAACCGAAGCGGATCTCCAGTTGATGAAAGACAGAGCGAATTCGTTCAAAAACCTTGCGTCTTCGTTTGATAGGGAGTTCGAGAATTTTCTTAATTCCGCGTCCAGATCGACGTTTCCGGTTCCTGCTATTTCGAATTCTTCATCTGCGTATCCCGCGGAGATTGATTTCGTGAAAAAGTTGCAGCCGAAGTTTTCTGAGTTCCGTCGGGCGTACTCTTCGCCAGATTTTAGTAGGAGAGTTCTGGAGAAATGGAACCCTAGAGCTAAGATAAGGATCGATTTGTCGGCGATAAAGAATGCTATCGTGTCGGAGGTGGAGGAGCTTGATGATAGAGAGAGGTACAGGAGGGGGGCGAGGACGAGGGTAAGGGATTTTAGCTGGGAGTGGAAAGGAGAAGGGGTTGGGGATGCTGAGGAGGGGCAGCTTTCTCGGTATTGGGAGCCTATTAGGGCATTGAAAACGCGGTTACGGGAATTGGAACAGAAGAGTTCGTCTTCAGAGATTATCGAGGGGCTCAAGAACAGTGAACTTGTTGAGAAAGTTAAATCTAGTTTGGTAAGTGTACTAACTTATTTCCGTAGTACCAATATGTATACCAAGCTTGGCAATGCTTTTGTTGATAACGGTTTCTATACTCTATTTGTTGAAATGGCCACAAGGAATCACGTGTTAGAATTTGAAATCAATGTAACAATGAAAACACCGGGTAGCAAAGAGATGATGCAATGAGACCGTCTCTGCTGAAAGTTGTTATGTTAGGTAAATAGGTAAAGGTTATTTCTTATCACTTTGATAGTAATCGTAGAAGGTCAGTTCAACTTCTGGCTTGTTTCAATTCAACAAGGATCAGAGAAAATGAAATTTTAGAAAACACCTGTCATCCTGATCTTCACATCCTTAAGAAAATATATTGCTCGTAAGTACTAAAATCCTTTGAATTGGGCTGAAAAAGAAGATGGCTCACCTTGTCTCAGTGAGGCAAAATATGGAGAGATTACAAGGTCAATCTCTCTGCAGATTCTGGGACAAAAAGGTGGTTATCAACTTGGTGATTATTTGTCATTATGTTAGTATCAAATTCTAGTTGCTTTAACTATAGGTTTCTATATAAAGAAAGGAAAGTAACTAAAATTTGTCATTATGAGCTAACAACGGTTTTTTTTTTCCTCACTAAAATTAAAGTAAAACATGTATGATGATTTGGAGCAAATCCATGAAGCATGGAAGTAAATCCTAGTATCATCTACTGAAATTCACATAGAAAATGCAAGCTGTTGAAATCTTATCAACTTTGTCATTTAAGTGAACAAAATAAACATATTACCAAATATCGATATCTCAAAGTTCTGAGTCGTTTAAGTTTTTTCTGTGCTCTACCACTCACTATTCTCTGATGATGATTTGGTGCTCATACTTGATTCTATGCGACCTCTGAAGTCTGAAAGTTGCCAACAATATGAGTGTATATCACATAGTTATTTAAAAACATAAATAACATTACTAGTTTAATGATGATAATAGATGTTTGAGAACTTTTTGCATATACTCATTTGAATTATTTGATTAATTGACAGCAGTAAACTATATTCCTATCCAATTCTACTAGTTGTTTATCGCTTGCTTTTAGGTGAATTTTATTTTTAGTGAAAATAACCAGACAAATATATTTCTAACATTGTTTCTATACATCTTGCAGAAAGCAATTTGTAAGGAACCAAACTACTCAAAGGTATCGATCTTCAGATCTAGCAATAGATTCACTTGTGTTATTTTGGGCTCATTGGCCTTGTATGTTTTATCTACTTAATATCCTGCTGTCTTTTGTCTGATTTATGGAAATACAAGAAATAATGAAGTTACACTAAACTACCTCTATGCTGCATCAGAAAATTAAATGTTTTTCATACCCTGCCATCATCATGAGATCAGTCTTCCTTCATTTATTGCCATTTGTTTTTATGTTAGATGCATCTAATAAGCAGCAGGGACAAATTTCAAATTATGTGATATACATATAGCTCTTCAAATTTACATTTTATTGCTAATTGATTCCCTAAGTACCAATGCCATTGGGAACTTTTTGGTCCTTGAATCCTTTGCTATGAGGTCGTGAGTTTTATTCAATAACTCTTGTTGTGTTGATATCTATATACCAGCTCATCTATCTGTATACCTAATAAACCTAGACTAGTATAAATTGCTTGTATACTAGAAATTGGAATACATGTTGGCTTGAGGGCTTTCATTGAATTAGAGTAGAAAAACTTTATGCTTAACGTTCTGTGTTTGTTTTGCTTCAATGTATCAGGAAGTTCCACCTTTGGACTTTCAAGAACTTCTGGCATGTCTGGTTAGGCAGTCTGGGCCATTTTTAGATCACCTTGGTGTGAAGAGAGGTAATTGATTTGTCTTCTCTTGTTGTCTTTGTTCTTTCTGGACTTCTATGGACTTGCTAGAATCTTTGCAATCTTTTTCCCGTCGCATTAATTCAATTTCCAACTGAATCATCTTTGTAGAATTTTTAAGAATTTGTTTTAGAATTTTGAGCATTATATCTGATTCCTATAGATCAAAATGACACTAATGACTGTGTTATATGTATGTGGCAGATTTATCCGACAAGATAGTGGAAAGCTTATGCAGCAAAAAGAAAAATCAATTTTTGTTGCGGTCGCTTCCTGCAGGAGAGTCAGCCATTGTTGAAGGTGATAACATAAATGATGAACTGGATTTAAGAATAGCAAGTGTGCTTCAAAGTACAGGGCATCATTATGAAGGTGGACTATGGGATGATCTCGGTAAGCGAGACATTTCTGACGGAGAAAGGCATGTAGCCATCGTCACAACTGCTAGTCTTCCTTGGATGACAGGGACAGCTGTAAATCCGTTATTTCGAGCAGCATATTTGGCTAGATCTCAAAAGCAGAAAGTCACACTGTTAGTTCCTTGGCTTACTCTAACAGACCAAGAATTTGTTTACCCAAACAATATTACATTCAGCTCACCAGAAGAACAAGAGGTTTACATTCGCAATTGGCTCGAAGAAAGAGTAGGTTTCAATGCAGATTTTAAAATTTCCTTCTACCCCGGAAAGGTATTCTTTACTTTTTCTACTGTAATCATATAAACTCGCCCTAGATGTAATTTGGACTTAAAATATGCCATATTCTTCTCGTTCAGTTTCAAAAGGAAAGGCGTAGTATAATACCTGCTGGAGATACTTCCCAGTTCATTTCATCGAAGGAAGCAGACATTGCTATCCTTGAAGAACCAGAACATCTGAACTGGTACCATCATGGTAAAAGATGGACCGATAAATTTAATCATGTTGTTGGCGTTGTTCACACGAATTACCTCGAGTATATCAAGAGGGAGAAGAATGGAGCTCTGCAAGCTTTCTTTGTGAAACATATAAACAACTGGGTGGCAAGAGCCTATTGTGATAAGGTACACAACTCTTCTCTTCCATTTTCTGGTTATCTATCACCCGTTCATGGTTTTTGCAAGCTTATTTGTCCAGAAAATATTCTGATTTTATATGTTTTTTTTATTAACCTGGATATCCAACCCGCTATGCGACCCGACTAATCCCAGGGCGACCACCTGCTTTGCGATTAACCCGGAGTCACCGTATTTGAATCTTCGTGGCCACAAGGGGATTTTTATTCCTCATTGGATTTGGACCTGGGACCTTCAGGCACTTTTGATCTTTGGAGCCCAAGCTCAAACCAATCAGGCATCACCTTTGTGGTTCTAAGTTTATATGTTTTTATGTTCAGGTTCTTCGGCTTTCCGCAGCAACCCAAGATTTACCCAAGTCGGTGATTTGCAATGTTCATGGTGTGAACCCTAAGTTTTTGGAAATTGGGGAACGAATGGCTGCAGAAAAGGAGGGTGGGGAGCAACGGTTCTCAAAAGGGGCATATTTCTTGGGCAAGATGGTTTGGGCAAAGGGATACCGGGAATTAATCGATTTGCTGGCCAAACAAAAGAATGACCTTAATGGGTTTAAACTGGATGTTTACGGCAATGGAGAAGATGCTCATGAAGTACAGAACACAGCAAAAAGTTTGGACTTAAATGTTAACTTTATGAAGGGCAGAGACCATGCCGACGATTCTCTTCACGGGTAAGAATCCGGACATCATTTGCATTATTGTTTTTCTTTCAAATGATCCTTCTTATTTAACAATCGTTGGCCATTCTTTTCCGGTGGGTAACAGTTACAAAATCTTCATAAACCCGAGCGTGAGTGACGTGCTGTGCACGGCCACGGCAGAGGCTCTGGCAATGGGTAAATTCGTAGTGTGCGCCAACCACCCGTCAAACGACTTCTTCAGGTCGTTTCCAAACTGTTTGACTTACGAGACACCAGAAGAGTTTGTACACAAAGTAAAAGAAGCCATGTCAAGTGAGCCTCAGCCTCTTACACCTGAACAAAGATATAAACTTTCATGGGAAGCTGCAACACAAAGGTTCATGGAGTATTCGGAGCTTGAAAAGATACTAAATTCAGAAAGTAACGGAATCGTGAGAAGGTCGAAATCGGTACCTAATTTAAGGTCAATGGTGGATGGAGGTTTAGCGTTTGCACACTATTGTTTGACGGGTAACGAGTTCTTGAGACAGTGTACGGGGGCGGTCCCAGGAACACGGGATTACAACAAGCAGCATTGTAAAGATCTAGATTTGTTGCCTCCACAGGTAGAAAATCCAATCTATGGATGGTGAAGAAACATAAAAACCAATTATTTTTTATGTAGAAATGGTATTTGATAATGCCTAACCAGCCTTTCTTGCTAGTTAGTGGTGTAGTTATAATATATATATATATATATATATATATATATATATATATATATATATAAATATATAGATATGAATGAGACTCTAGAGGGGAGGTATTGTAGTATCGATCTGTATTATGTAATTATTGGTATATGAAGTCGATAAATCTTTGCTAAAATGCATCATATCATTGTTTTGCCATGCCACAGAACTAGTTTTTGTTAAATCTTTTGGTTGATTTTGATGAGAACTTGTTTCTCAACCTGCAACCACAAACTTCCATATATTTCCATCGATAATAAATATTTAGAGATAGAAATTATATTCTATCAGATGAAAATAATAATATTTTAATAACATAATCAAATCATGAAGAATCCTTTAGAGTTGAATGCATTTTTTTTGTTTAAAAATTTTGAAGTCTCATTCTTCGTTTTAAACAAATTTTGAAGAACCTGTTAAAGATACTATTTAAGTTGCTAACAAACATACCATCAAATATTAGATAACACTTTTACTAAGAATTAGTGTTTAAGAAGAATGGGTTTTTAGGCTACTTTCCATATCTATGAGGTCAAAAAGTTGTTTTGAAAAGTTGTTTTAGGTTACTTTCCCTATCAAGTTTGCTTGTTATTCCTGAGTGCATTCACATTCCTTAAAGTAGCCATCTCCAGTTTCACATACATGCATGCATACATATATCAAGTATCCACATAATGACATATAACTGTCACACAAAGACAAGGTGGAGGACTTTGAGCTCAAAGTAGTGCACATGAAAGAATCACTCACCAAAAAGATTGGCAGACCAAGATGGGGTTTCATCAAATCTTACCAACTTGGATAGAGGCTACATGCACTAATCAATTGAACCATGTGTTTAGGTTGTCCCAGTCAGGGTTTTTCTTGCTTGGTTTTTTTTTTTTTTTTAAATTAATGAAATGGACTGTTTGTTTACTTCTTAATATCATTAAACCGTTATCAAACAATCATATATAACTAATTGAGTAAGATGTGACTCTCATTAAGCTTATTAAACTGCTAAAAAATAAACCCCCGAGACTATTTATTATTTAACAAACACCTTCAATCAATAGCTCAATTCAAAAGATTGATCAAGTGATCATTACCCAATCCGGACCACAAAGTTCAATTAAAAAACCTTTCTTAAACATACCCATTTAAGCAATTTACAGAAGTATATATCACAATTATGTTAAAATAGAGATTTTTTAGATTTATGATATATTCTTGCTTCAATAACTATATTTTAGTCTATGTTAAAATAGATAAAAGAAGAGACAGAGAAAGAGTGTGAAAATCTCTAAATTTAGAGAAATATCTAAAAGCTTATTATATAAAAGAGAAGAATAATAACCACAAAGGCTGATGTCTGATTGGTTTGAGCTTAGCTCCAAAGGTCAAAAATATCAAGAGGTCTCAGGTTCAAATCCAAAGAGGAATAAAAACCCCCTTATGGCCACGGAGGTTCAAATACGGTGACTATGGGCTATCTGCAAAGCAGGTGGTCGCCCTGTGATTAGTCGACTCTCATAGCAGGTTGAATATCCAGGTTAATCAAAAAGAGAAAGAAAAAGAGAAGGATAATATTTAATTTTTCCCATCAGCAGAAGATATTAAAATCAATTAAATGTTTAGTTAAGAAAATAATATTTGACAAAAACTTTTAAAAATCAATTTTTATGCATGAAATACTGTTTATTGATGCATATTACTTAAAATTGAATATTACAAGTAAACTGTACGTAACTACAACTTATTAGACCTTCATGTTTGAATTCGTGTAACTATATGCAAATAAATATAATCAAATAAAAGATAAATATCTCATTGTAAATATAAAAGATCTAAAATATAATTAGGATAATCATTAAGTTCTAACAAAATATTTAATTATTATATTTATAAAAAGTTATATTATTAAACCAAAATCTAAAAAAATGCATTAAAGAAATACAGAGAAAAAAAGAAAATTTCAAATAGTTACTTTGATGTCAATATTAATATATTTTTTTCAATCTTTTATGATATATATTCATATTTTTATTTTTATTCAAAAATACAATCATTATTGTTTTCTTAAAATCATATAAATTCGTATTATCTCGACTGAAACAAATAAAATATTAAAATTAAAATGTATTTTGTTATATTGTGTGAATACCTTTCTAGTTTTAATAATATAGAAATCTTCAAAGTAGAATAGTTGTTGAAATTAAATATAAATTGTTTTTGAAGATTTTTTATTTTTAATATCTTATTTTTTTTTTTAAATATAAAATATTTATCTAAAAAAATGTGTGAATTTCTTATATTTTTTTATATTAAATGGGTGATTTTATAGTCATTGTTTAATTTTAACTTATACATCATAGTCAACAAAACAAAAGCAGACCACACAACGGTTATATCGGGTACGTTTGATGGGTCTAACATGCTAAATTCTAATATTTGAAGGGTAAAATATGACAAATTTAAAATGTAGAGGGGGTAAAATCGCAAAGGATGAAACAGCCCACGAGCTACGACTAATACAAATCGCTGAGTACGTTAGTGGGACCCAATAACTCCAAATTTGACTCACAGTCAGCGTTTACCCGTCAAACATTATATTTTTACTTTAACTTATTTTCTTGTATTATTATGTTCATGCAAAACGTGACTCACGTCGTTTAATAATAACAATACAAAATACGTCTACTTACAAATATATTCAATAAATCTTGACACAACTTTCATGATTCTATAAAAAATTAAGTAGAATAAAAAATTCAGAAATTTTAAACATGTAGATATCAGTTACTAAAAATATCATAAAGCAAGCAATCAGATGAGAACGCGTTTACTAAACACTTACTTGGTAAGTGCTTACCGGTTCAATTACTTCATGAAATGAACATAACAAGGACCAAGAAACTTACCCGATAAGGTGGAAGACAAGGGTCGATAGTCTTACTCAGTAAGTGAAGGTGATGACCGAGTTATAAAAATACTTATCATCAATCCATTTTGAGAATGGTATTACATAAAGTAATTGAAAGTGGTGATTCTTGCAGGTAAACGTTTGGTAAACGACTCTTGATATTTTATTTTTTTTGATTCGTTATCTACATTGTCTTACCTTTTTAGTTGCTTTTTTCGTTATTCTCATTTCTCGAATTTTTTGTTATTCTCATTCGAACGTATATATGCTGTTTTTAATTAATTCATGATACAGAATGTATTAAACTGCTATTGTTTGTTACAAATAATATGATGGTAAAAAAGTTGAAGGAGGACGATACGGAAACATGGTCAATTTATAAGAATACAAAGACGTCGACTATTAAAGGAAAGTTAAACATCCGAGGTCGCTAGGTACGCCTGAGCACTCCTGGGTTGATTGTTTCTTAATCACATAGTTATTGTCGTGTTCGTTAAAATTAACATTGTTTTTGTTTGAACCCGATTTTAAAAAAGTTAGTAACTTCTTTTGCTTACTGTCATTTAATTTAATTCCTAAAATAACAAGAATAAGATAATTTAATAACCACTCATACAATTTTTAACCATAAAATCTTATGCAAAGGTCATAAATCAAATGCTACACCTTTATATATATAGAGAGAGAAGGGGGGGGAAAAAA